CGGAGCAGTGAGGCCGTTTGGGGAGACAGATGGCAGGGGTCATGCGGGCAGGCAGCGCCGAGGTGAGCGTGCGCGGAGCGGAGGTGCATGGAGGACAGGGACAGACGGACACGAAGAGGGACGCGACAGCGGACGGCACCCCGGGGGGCACGGGGGGATTGGGGCTTGAAAGGGGGGGGGAGACGGGTGGCAGTTTGGGACCCTGGGAGGTCTGGGAAGGGTCCAGGGGGAGGCCTACAGGCAGACAGGCGGGCCACACGGACTGCGGCACTTAACGGCAGGATTACTGGCAGAGTCGCACTGACACAACCTCCCTAAAAGGATCACAGCAGCGTAATAAACTTTATTAAATAATAAAACTTATTAGAACTGTTAACCCGATTTAGTTCATTCTTCGCGGCTTACACACACACACACAAAAAGATGGGCCATAATAAGCCTTATACCGTACATAAGGCAGAGCCCACAAAAGCCATCGCTTTGCCATTGACTTTAATTGGATTTGAAAAACTGGTTGCAAATGATGGCATTCTGCACTTCAAACTTAGCAAAATAAGTGTATAGAAAAGGGAAAATAAAACCTGCAGTCTGAAAGTGAATTAATCTGCTTTTTTGCCCATGCTTAATTAAACTTCCTTAATGCTTATAAGAGTTAAAGAGCGAATTGATTAAACAATACGGCTAATGCTTACCCCCAGCTCACAAGCAGCGGTGATCAGCTCTCCTGTGGAAGAAAACAGAGGGCAAAATGAATGCAAACCCAATAATTACTAATAAGAGATGGGTCCCCTCCAAAGTTTTCCCAACACAAATAGTTGCACTGGGGTTTTGCATTAATTTCACTGGATCAAAACCTGCGAATCTTCCCGGCATGACATTTCCTAAGCGGCACACGCACTGCCCCCCCACCCCCCACACAAGGTTTATGGATGCGTGTGCACACACTACCACGCCCCCCAACGCCCCTGCGCCACCACACCCGACCCACGTACACCCAGCTCCCGAAACCCCCGACAAGCCTATTCCCCTTCTCCTCAAAGCCAAAGAGCAAACGTCTCCAAAAATAGCCTGAAAACACTGGTGTGTTAAGACCCCCGGGCGCCTTCACTGGGTCACTGCGTTCCCCGTGCATTTCACCGCAGCCCACGAGTAGCTCCATCCTTGAGCCTGTATCCGCGCTGCACTCTCTCACACTACAGTCCCCGGGGGATTAAAGACGGCCTTCTAAATTAAGCCCGAGCTGTTAAAAACACCCAGGTCGCCCCAGGCAGGAACATTCACAGGTACGCAGTCGGCGCGCTGCCCAGAGGGCAAGCAGTTTGCCGCTCGCAACGCCAAGGGTGTGACATTAACAGGCTCCCCCCCGGAAGCGCGTGCACACCTTTCACCCAAACTGAAGGACGCCTGCAGGACTTGCACGAGGCGTTCAAGAACAATATTTCCTCCATTAGCATCACGACCATCAACCCCACAGGTACAGACGGATGGCACTGGAAGATTGTCATTCAATTGCAGAACTATCCCCTTTCAAAAGTATCCCTAACCATACAGCTGAAAAATATTTCTGAGGGTGACTTTCCCGTACAGGCCCAAACACACACGGCACCCGGCAGTCAGAGTCCTGTGGAGGGGTGGCCGGCCTATCACTTGGGGGGAGGCTTGGCATGGCACGCGAGAGCCAAGCGTTTTTGTGATTCCGAGCCGCTCGCGCCAGCCTGTGCATAATCCTGCCATTTCCACGCTCTCATTCCTAGACAACAGCTTCCCCACAAGCCGCGCTCAGCCACCCCAGGGCCCACCACACCTAAAGAGATTAGGACGGGAAATGGAGACCTGGAGGATTCCGAGGCGAGCTTGCCCGACACTATCGGAGCGGCATCCGGCACCGTCCCTAAAGGCTCCCGGGCGGGCTGGCTGTCTGTTTTTTTTTTTTATATGAAAAAGCCCAGCGGCATGGCAGTGGGGGCCAAGCGGCGTCCCCGCCTCCTGTGGTCACGCCGCACTTTCAAAGGGATCCAGTCCCGCGATGTTTCATTCCCGTGCACTACTGTTCACAGCATGAGCCGGGGGCGACGCTAGCACAAGGGGAGGGTGTGATGTGGCTCCACCTCTGCCCATCCACACTACTCACTCTAACCACCTTCCCGTGCACAAAGATGGCACCGCACTTCAAACTTCTGGTAAAACTCCTGCCATCTTGTCCCATTTCACTGAATCCAAAGTGGTTACTGCTCACGCCCCTGCCTGAAGCTTCGCCGTAAAGCATCTTCCCAAGAATGACTCGCATGCGCCTTGCCTGCATTTTCTTGTACTTTCACTGGATAACTGCAGAATTATACATTAGAAAAAAAGTTAGATTCTCATAAATTAAACTTCAGTAAAATGGGACGGAGTTCGGGAGGTTCAGGCGCAATGCGGGGCCCAAGCCGCCAACGGCAATAATAAGGCTTCTGGGAAATGTGGCACACCCCTGGTTCCGCTGTCAGCCACAGCCACGCCGCCGGCCTTAATCACCCCCACTCCCCCCCCCACGCGATCATCCCCGCTGCCGTAATCCTGACACGGGAGCAATCCGCCGCCGCCTCGGCACAATGAATGCATTAAATGGGCTCCCCCCAAGCGCTGGCCTTGCCACTTCATTGTCATTTCCAAAATAATAATAAAAATAAATGAAAATATCTATTAACATAATCTTCACTTCCTGTCAGACTTATCTCTGCTTTGTAGGGAAAAGTTACTTCCAAAATATCTGCATATTGCTCCTCGCATGATAATCGCAGCTAAAATAACTATGGGTTGGAAATGAAGGGGGGACGAAGAAGGCGGGGGGGTTGCACACACACCCCCCCCCCCCCAAGTCCTATCACACAGTGTGGGGAGCGATGTGCTCCAAGGCGAAAGGTTATGGGGAAAGACAAGGAGCCTTTATGTTAATTATGTGATTCTTAACATGACTGCCCCCCATGGGAGATAAATGAACACTGATAATTTAGCCGTTCGGAAACACAATCAAGGCTCTCGTTCCGGATTATTCTTGAGGGGGCCGGCGCCACAGAAGTGGCAGTGACAGGGCCACACTTAATGACAGATTTTTTTTTTGTTGGGGGGGGGGGGGGAGGATAAAAGCACATGTGAGGCCACAGACAAAGTACACTGATATAGGAAACCAACCGCAAACATCTCTCGCAACATTGCCTGCCCTGCTGAGCGCACAAATCAATTGCAGCGAAAACGTCGGCCAATTACTTTAAATACATAAAGTGACCCTGCAGGAGGGCGTGCACTCAAATTAAGAATAATGAGAACCCTCAATACAGTCAGAGTGCCCCCCCTTAACCCCCTTCCATATTGCACATTAACACTCCACATATTACCAGGAGAAGACATTGACCTCCTGGCCCTTATCGCTGCCCCAGGGGGCCAGCTCTCCCTGGACAGACAGCCGGGCTGGTCTGCAGGGAGGATGCGAGACCCAGAGTGCCCCCCTCCCTCGTCCTCCACCCCGCCCGCCTCTAATCTCCGTCCACCTCAGACAGGCCTTCTCCAGCCTTGCTCCTGGCACGCCGCAGGCTCCGCGGATTAGGTTGTAAATTGAGGGCTTTCAAATTTGTTAAAGTGGCAGCAAATACCAGATTAGCGAAATCAGCCCTAACAGGTGTGAAACAGTGTGCAGCCAGGTACAGTATCCATCTACCTGCAGCATATGTCAAGCTAATGAAAGGGACCTTCACTTTTTCTATAGAAAGGAAACTGCATGTCCATCCAAAGGGAAAAAAAATGTTAAAAACAGATTCTGCTAGGTCTTCTACAGAAAACGTTTTTTCCCAAACCTATTAGTTGTATATGTGATTATTTCTGCCATATATGCATAATTAAATTACACAGAAATACATGCATCTGCTTTAAAGAACATGTTCAGTTGTTTCTATTTTAGTTACATCTGCCAAAAAAAAATACTGCACTGTAAACTCTCTCTACTTTTACCTTGGGGTGGATTTTAAATTATATACTGTATTCTGGGGGAATGCTTATTACCACACCATGACGTAAAGCAAATGAACGCGAAAAATCTCACAAGGATACAATTCCGTCTGACTAAGAAAACACACATTGCTTCCAGTCCCCAGGTTCCAGAAACGTCATTTTGATCTATACGAAACACTACCCGTAGCCTGGGGATTTACGCTATTTGCGTAAGGATTTCCCGAGTAATTCCGCTACGTACGGCGGTCTGCAGTGCGCATGTGTGTACCTGAATCGCCCCCCGGGACAGCCTTCTGAGCGCACGGCAGGTAGAGAGCTGCTACGCAAGCGATAGTGGCGCCCGTCAACGCCCAGGAATTCCGCTCCAGAGACATGTTTACACCGCCCAAGCTACTGAACCACACGTCAGCAACAGCTGCGACGTACAGAAAATCTCTAATTGAGGTGTGGCTAGCGCAGTATGTAATGAATGACGAGTATTATGCGTTTCAGTCAGCAACCACAACTCCGAGTCACGCGTCTCATTCAGTTTCCGCTGTATCTTCAGACCAATGCCGTCCCGGATGACACAGATATACGAAGAATATTCTGTAATTCAGTATCAAGCGCCTTTTCTCGCTTATCTTCAGGCCAGACAGCTAATACTAGCTAGCTCGCGACATAACACGCGCAGCCGACTGAAATATTGGCGGTTTGAATCTATAATTCAACCTCTGTCCATTCTTGTGGAGACACAAGACACACTTCGTTCACAATACACGAATCAACTAAAAGGAAAACAACAAAGAATTATAATTCGCTTAAACATCACGAGTTACAGCATTCCAACTTTTCACGTCTAAACACCGATTCGTTTTGCTTCCTCGATGAGCTACAAAATGGGAATATCGAAGGGGGAACAATCCATATTATATTTATTTTTTTAAATGTTAAAGATGTAGAACCACATTTATGGCTATTATTCATAAATATAGTACAGTGTAATTATACTACAACTACGTTTCTGTAAACATTTTTTCTAATTGTAATCATGGGATAAATATATGGCTTTTAACTCCCCTGTTGTAAGTAACGTTGGTATGATCTAAATATTTGAAAGGCAGTCCCCGCCAGGCTGAAGGCCCATCAGAATAGGCTCAGAGGCGCCATCTAACACGCAGATGTGGAACTGCGTAAAAAAGATATATTTGCCAACTGCCAGACCCAACAGGAGTAGCGTGCGTTAGATCTAGCGCTTAATAAGAGTAACGGCACATAATGGATTACCGTGAAACGTCCCGGCTCTTGTGTTATTTTGTCCACATTTTTGAAGGACCAACAGGCAAACGTCAATATGTTGAGACAGAAATACGTCAAGATCTTGTTTTACACATTAAGTTATAGGCTGACGCGTACTGCCTGTGCATACCGTTAACGAGTCTACTGTTTAAAAATAGCACACTATTGTTGTTTCGCGATTGTGTCTACCTAGTCCAGACTATAGCTGGTTTTAGAATGTACCTTTTGGTGTTACAGATAAATCTGATACTACAGATAAAATAAACAGCAAAACATCTTGATTAGTTACGAAATTAGTAATTCTTTCACTTATGAAATGTCCTATTTTGAATCGAACCACTCGCAATAATATGAGGAAAAAAGTCCTGGAGAGCAACACACAACCCCAGCTCTCTCTCTCTCTCTCTCTATATATATATATATATATATATATATATACATATATATATATACACACACACATACAAATATGAAATCGTAAATTGGCAGCGGAATAATGAGTATATAATTGACTGTAACTGCTTCCAGAGATGCTTTCCAAGGGGAAAGAAAAACGTGATGCTCGTTGTAACGCGCTATTACAGGTATCCGGAAGGACTGAAAATAGAAGAGGTTAAATTCAACTGCTCAGAATATATTTCCGCGACATAACTGCCAGATTTTATGAGATGTTAGAGTCAGCTGGGAAATATGATCGGAGTCCAAACTGATAACACAAACAGACGTATCGGAAGGGGAAATTAACTGTTCAGCGAATTTACCGAAGACATTTAAATGCACACGTCTCTGCAACTCGATAAAAATGCACAACTAAAATAATTCTTGTGATTGTGGGAATTAGCGGTATCTGGGGGCTCGCAGCTCTTTCTCTGCCTTAATAATGTCTGCAGAATTTGACAGACTGATGAAGTCGTGCCCAGCGCCAGAATATTTTAGTCTGGCAAATTATCATTACCCTTCGAAAAATCAATTAAGTTCTGTCAATTAAACAAATTACAGACTCAGGACATGGAAAATGAAACTGACAGGTGAGGGTGGGCGTTACGGAAAACATAGATCCGAGGCAAACATGTACATTATTTACTGCTAGAAGACCAAGTAACGGCAGAATAATAAAAATTACATTCTCATTAGCATCATGTGCTATTTTGTTGAAAAAGCTACCATAATGTGAGCGTTTACAATTATTTTAGGAAGCTCTCTGTGTTGTCTAATTGCAGATAGATAAATATGAATGAATGTGACATGAGTGAAAGGACGTTGAACTAAACGGCTTTTGCTTAGTGAGATGACATGAAACAGCAGAAAATAAGGTTTTACAAGATTAACCCCTCATCAGAGAAACAATTACACTGCAAAACATCGGTGTAGTTTAATTTAAAGTGGTCTACTTGTGCATGGGTATATTGGTGTACAGAAAACACAACCAATTTGTACCTGTAGGTAAATGTACCGTTTAAGATACAGAAATGGACTATGAGGAATATTTTTGTACCATTGGGGGTACATTAATGTTGTTTGTACCTTGGGGATTTCACTCAGAGTCCATTTCTGTACCTTAAATTCGACTAAAAGGTACATTTACCTACAGCTATAGGGTACAACTGGCAGACCCTTGAGGGTACAGCCCCAGTGACAAGCAAAGATACGAATTGCTACTCTTTCTTCAGACAGTTTAGGGGATTTGCACTTAAGGATAGAAAAAAAATTCAATAACTCGCTGAAAACAAGCGTGCCGGAGATAACTCCCCCCTGGGGTGATATTCTGAAACTTAAAAAATATAACACAGGCGTACAAGTATTGTTGTACTTATTCGGCATAATATAAAGGTTGATGTGAGGTAAATCAGGTAAATAACACCAGATATTGAAACTAAAATGCTGCACTATTTTAATGAATGCTAGCATTGCGAATTCAATTATTACAACCCGTTTTGAAAGGATGCCTGTTTCATGTTTAGTCTTTTCAGTATATGGAGGTTTGGTATCACCAAATTGTCATCATATTTTGTAGTTTGCAATACAGCCTTGGTATTACGGTGTATGTGAGACTTCAAAGCGATCATCGTTTATTCAAAATCAAAGACATAAAATTAAACAAGTTATTGTTAATTCTTGTTGCTCTTTAATTCAGATCTTCCATACCTCTGTGTATTTTATGCTTTGTAAAACACTTTGGTGTATGGTTGTCTTCCTGAAATGTGCTCTATAAATGAACCTCACCCTTGAAACAGAAGGAAATCACAAAATCACAAAACTAACACATCCTATAGTGAATTTAAACATAGTGTCAAAAGAACAATACGTAAGTAAAGCATTGTTCTTTTGACACTATGTTTAAAATCACTATAGAATATGTTTGTTTTATGATTTTGTGATTTCCTTCTGTGTCAAGGGTGAGGTTCAACAACACCACCATCTTAGTTATAGACAATTTCTAATTGTAATCGTAAAAGACAAAGGACTAATTGGAATGCGTGTGTTTTTTTTTTCTCCAGAACGGTCCCTTTCAGAGATTATGTCCAAGAAATCACATTTTACACTTGGCTCGCAGATAATGTAAGATAAGCTCTTAATAGATTAAACGTATATATATTTTTTCTTAGGACCAATTTTTAAATTTCCAACACTAAATGCCCAAGTAATCAAGTAATATGACAGCTGTGGTGTGTTAGCTAATGCGTGTATGTTTACATCACATAATGTGGTTTAAGATAACAGATGTTTAGACATGGCTGGGGGGGGCTGCAGTGGTGGCCTGTGCAGTATGGGTAACATACCTTTTGCAGTTAGACATGGCTGGGGGGGGCTGCAGTGGTGGCCTGTGCAGTATGGGTAACATACCTTTTGCAGTTAGACATGGCTGGGGGGGGGCTGCAGTGGTACCCAAGTGCAGTATGGCTGACATACCTTTTGCAGTTAAACCTGCAGCCAAGTCCCTGCCATATTAACAGACAAACAGAAGGAGGTAGCTGGTTACCCTGCCTCCCTCGTCTTCTGGGTTTCCTCATCTGTTCAGTTTAGTTCTGATCGATTATCATTGTGGTTCTACCTGAGGTGTGTGTGTGGGTCCTCTGTGCCCACTGTCAGTGCAGTACGCATCCTGATAGGTCTGTCTATGGACCCCAAACATAAACAGCGCAGAGCGCCTACTGCAGGCTGCCACACGGGCCCAACTTTGGACTGAGGACAAGCCAGGAAAACCTAAATTCAAACATGGGCAACTTAGCGGGTTTTTGAGCCTCTTGAAACCCGTCCTGCTGTCATTTGAAACCCTCTCTCACCCCATCCTAAAGCACGTTGTGGCTAAGATTCCCCAGCATTGTTTGCTTTGGGGGCGGGGGGCAGGCTAATGGCAGCAGCGTTAACTCGAGTTAGTTCGGCTGAAACAGGATTGACCTTGCAGAGGTGTGAATTGAGGGGGGGTGGAGACACTGAGTGCTTTCAACCATCGACATCCTGTCAGAAATACACCTCAGCAGCTCTGTGGAATTACCAGAAAGGTAAGAGCATCCACCGTTGCATGCTCACAGTAGCCTTGAAATAATGTTTCTTCTTTCATTTGAATGGGGAGCTCGAGAAACAAAGTGCAAACCGCACACCAAAGGCGATTATGAGCAGCCATTTAGTGACAGGAGCGTCAGCGATAAAAGCCTCTGTCACAGGAGCAAGGTATTTAATACAGCATTGGCTCCTATTAAGACACGAAGCGTTAAGCTTGTAATAAACTGGTGTCATGCCCCCCTGGGTGCACCGGTGTGATGTAGCTCCAGGTTAGGCCTGCTTCGTCAGCTTAGCACGCAATGCTGGGCTGCTGACAGCTGTCACGCACAAGGGAACAGCGACCTCTGCTGGAAACTAAGTGTCAACATTTTTTTTATTGTTTTTTTTTTTCATGTCTTACACGAAATAAACGCGTCATAATTCAGTTATTTTTTTTACCGCTGTTAATTTCATATACAAAAGTATGTACCAACACCAGAAAAAAATGACCATAAACCTACCATAGAGTCAGCTTTACTGGATGTGAACTCCAGTCTTCAGGCCTGCGGGCGTTGGAATCAAAGCTCACCCCTGTCCAGTTGGATGGGTTAAGCACGTAATCAAGTGAGTATTTATCCTGATATCAGAATAAGTCACCATGGTGTCTCCTGCACCTCTGCTCACTCCAGTTGATTCCACTTCCAGCGTGTCCCAACCTCTACAAGATCATTATATCATTCATTGACACTGAGATTGATCTGGGATCAGTTTGTGGCTCTTTATTCAGGCTACATAATTTCTCCTTCCACACTTTGAGGCTGCAATCTTTTGGTAATAATTCCAAGTCTTTAATGGCTATGCCACCTACAGGCCATAGCTTAAGGCAGTTTTGTTGTGTGGTGGGATGCAGTGCTGCACACATATATCACAGGATGGAGATGAGGCACGTCTGAGATGAGAAGAGCAGCTTGTGACCCCGACTCCCAAACCTCGCACCCTCACAGGCTGACGCACCATCTCATCTGCTCAGCTGACGTACTCGGGAGCCCCAGCAATCCGGCAAACGTGTGCCGTGGTGATGGGCAGTGTGTGTGTGTGTGTG